AAATTAGAACCTTCCACCCCCCACCTTTTCTCTTTAGTATTTTTCCATCTCTGTTGCTGATAATCTGACCACATTGGAAAGGGAGTCCCGACTCCCAACTTAGATTTTTATGATATGTAAAAAGTATCTTCCTCAGTGTTGCAGGAGGCAGTACTGTCCAGAAAATAACTCTCCCAGTGTGGTAGAAGAAAGTAATCAGTGCTTGATTAAGATTTTATTACAAATCAGCTCAGTTTGCTGGCCTTGTTAAGAAAATAAGTTTTCCCCAGGAGAACTTAATTATTTTGGGTGTTATTTTGAACTACGCTGGCTTTTTGAAGATCTTTTTATGCCATTGAATTTAAAAGTATGACATAGTATTTGATCCTTCTTGTATTCATATATACAAGTGATTTTCCCAAATGATTTAATGAAAGGATAGTACAGATGTAAACAGACACTCTTTGAATTATTCCACAGGGGAATATTTTAATATGCACATAGTATATTTTCACTGTAATTCAGATTGAAAAGAACATATATCTTGTATATCTACATACCTTCCTATATCTACCTGCTTCTATTTCTGTCATAATACAGGAGGAATCAGAGGAAGAAAAAGATAAAAAAACAAAGGGCTTTTAGCTTTCACCAATCAAGAAATATTCTTTTCAAGAACTCAACTTTTGTACAAGTTGCATAGCAATATTTAGTGGGAATAATCTGTGAATAATGAATTGTAGGTGTTGTTTTTGGGGAAAATGCATCAAAAGACAGTCACATTTCTTTCCTCCCTTTTTCCCAAAGGGAAAACCTCTGGGACCACATACTGCAAAAAGAAGGTCTAAAATGGAACAAACATTAATTAACAAATGTAAAAGATGTTTAAATTTGCCTCCTGTTTCACAGATAAATTGATTTTGTAAACAGATCTCTTTTTCTTCTGACATTACTGAAGAATAACAGGTCACTTATAGCTTAACCTTTCAGTTCTTAAAATTTGTTAAATATTTTTAGAATTTAGACTGATATCTTGCATATTGTTCTGCCAAAGTATTATATGGGCGCATGAGAATACATGCACTAATACATGCGCTAATTTGTGTTGGATCATTTGACAAACTTCTCAGATGGGATGGACTGTCTACTATAAGTATAGAAATCAGAGAAGTCTACTTTGACTTCAGAAAGGCTTTTGACATTGTCTCTCATAACATCTTCAGAGGTAATCTTTGGAGATGTGTTTTAGATGAATGAAGTGAGGTGGATAAAGAACTGGCTCAATGGCAGAACTCAGAGGGTCATGATCACTCGAGAAGAATCCAGTAGGAGGCCTGAACTCAGTGGCATTCCCCAAGGGTCAACACTTATTGGGTCCATTCTTATTCAACTTGTTTACCAACAACCTGTCCAAAGGAATAGAATGCCCCCTGAGCAGGTTTGCTGATGATAATGAAACTGAGGAGGATGGCTGATACACCTGAAGCCTGTGCTGACATTCATCGTGACTTCGATAGGCAGGAGAGCTGGGCAGAGAGAAACCTAATGAGGTCCTGCACCTGGGGAGGAATAACCTCAAGAACAAATACAAGCTGGGGCTGACCTGCTGGAGAGCAGCTCTGTGGAGAAGGAGCTGGGAGTCTTGGTGGATGAGCATGAGCCAGCAGGGCCCTTGTGGCCAGGAGGTCCAACGGTATCCTGGGGTGCGTCAGGAGAAGTGTGGCCAGCAGGTCAAGGGAGGTGATCCTGACCCTTTGGGTGTCCTGTCTGGAATACTGTGTCCAGTTCTGGTCTCCACATTCAAGAAAAACAGGAGCTACTGGAGAGGATCCAGTAGGGGCCACAAAGATGGTTTGGGGTCTGGAGTCTATGAGGGGAGACTGTGGGAGCTGGGCCTGTTTAGTCCAGAGAAGAGAAGACTGAGAGGGGATCACTTCAATACATATAAATATCTCAAAGGCAGCTCACCACCCTCAGTGGAGGGTGGTGCCAGGCTTTTTTCAGTGATGCCCAGTGGCAGGATGAGGAGCAAAGGCCATAGATTAAAATAGAATAAATCGAATAAATCATCATGAGGGAAACCTTCTTTATACTGAGGGTGGCAGATCACTGGAGCAGGCTGGCCAGGGAGGTTATGGATTCTCCCTCTTTGGAGACATTTAAAACCCAACATGGTCCTGTGTGAACCACTCCAAGTGTACCCTGTCTTGGCAGAGGGGTTGGACTAGATGACCTCCAAGGTCCTTTCCAAGCCTTAGAGTTCAGTGAGTCTGTGAAGTATGGTTAAGTAGTAAGCATAAGCATATTTGGAGGAATGAAGTTTCAAACTTCTTTTTAGCTTCTTTGTGATTGCCAATTACAGTTTTGTAGCAGAAGGGATATGCATGTATAAAATAATTGTAACATTTCTCTGAAGCACACCCTTTGACATTATTAGCAACAAAAGAAAAATAGTGGGTTTTCAGATTAGTCACCTCCAGACTGCTAAGAACTATTGCTTGTGGCACATACATGTCTTCAAATTCATTTTCTCATCGTATCTGGATTATGTGATAGAAGTGAATTCCTTAATTATTATTGAACTGCCCTGGTAGGAACCTTCAGCTTGTCCTGGTATATAAATTGGTTTACTGCATCTTCAGGAGTTTAGTTCTTATTCTTTATAGTTATTGCAGTGATAAAATGTCATTCAATTACAATGCAAATGATATAATTTAAAAATATATGCCTATGATATGTATTTTTAAATAATTAAGTAGTTGTGTTTTTAAGAGAATATTTGATGATTAATCATTATGTCCTCTTTAAAAGAACTAAAATTATAATTCTGGCTGTTAGGAATTACAGTTCACGGCAGATGTATAGAAGCTTTTTAGATCAGAACAAAAAAATATAGCAGTACTTGTAGGAAGATACCATTTCAAACCTGAGGCTTTTTCCAATGAACTAATAAGCAAAGCAAATAGAATATGGAATTTCCAGGTGCGTTTAGACTTCAAAGAAATGCTTGAGCTCAGCAAGATATCATCACATTCCCTCCTCAGTTTGACTCATTGTTGCTGGAAGCTGTTGTCATTGGTAGGGGTTCTCTGACTGTTTGAATGTATGTGTGAGGTTTAGGGCCTTTGTGCTGATTTTTGAAGACACTTGTGTAGTCTGCAGTGAGTCAGGATAGGCAAAACAATTATATTAAAACTCTGTGTATTGATTTCATCTCAAAAAATGCAAAATTTCTTCTTAGTACCTAATACAGTACTGCAAATTGGATTTATTATGAGAACAATGTTGATAGCACACTGATGTTCAGGTTGTTGCTGAGCAGTGACTACCTTGAGTCAAGGATGTTTCAGTTTGATATGCTCTGCCAGTGAGCAGGTGCACAAGAAGCTTGGAGGGATCATGGCCAGGACAGCTGACCCAAACTGGCCAAAGGGATATTCCACACCACAGGGTGTCATGCCACGGCCTATAAACTGGGCTGTTGGCTTCAGCTATTGGTTGCTGCCTGGAAACAGGCAGGGCATCAGTCAGCATATGGTTAGCAATGGTATTGTACATTGCATGTTTGTCTCAGGTGTTATTTTCTATCTCTTACGTTCATAAAAATTATTATTGTTCTAATTATTATCTTTAGCAATTACTATTATTATTGCTGTCATATTATCATTGGTGGTGGTGGTGTGTTGTTTTTTGGGTTTTTTCCATTATTAATCTGTTCTGATCTCAAGGTTTACATATTTTTTTACTTTGATTCTCATCCCCACTGAGGTCAGGAGGAAGATGTAAAAGAGTAGCTGAGTGGTGTTTATTTATTGGCTGAGTTAAACTGCAACAACCTTGTAGGACCAGATGTGAAAAGTAGGGAGGAGTTCTCTAGCTCTAACCAGACCTAGGAAAAGAAAATGAATCTTATCAAAAGTGTAATCAGTGCTGCACTTCTAGAGTTTTTTTTAAACACATGGGAAATAAATTTAAAAGAAGAGAAAAACCCCAAACCCCACTTATAATAAAACCAGCTGTTGATAGATTTAGCTCCTTTGGGTGAACAGATGAGTCTGCGTGATGTCAGTGAATCATTATCGAATTATATACCCAAAACAATGACAAATAAATTTTCCCATTTCCCCACTAAGATCTTAAAAAATGTATGAAATCCTTTACAGGCAACACAGTAAGTGACACGCCTAAATGAAACTTGTATTTGGCCCTGAAATGACAACATGCTTCGGAGTAAGTCATTCACAGTTATTTAAAACAACACAAGTAATTTTGCCTTTTTTGACTTATTGCGACACTTATAAAGTCCTGCTTTGCAACTTATTCTAAAGTGCATAACTTTTTAAGCTCTCAACTTCAGGAAGAATTTTGCAATTTAATAGAAAATTTGTAGCTTAGCTCTTCCCTGGCATGACACAACAGGTTTGCGGACAGAAGTGTGTTTTTTATGCAGTGGAACAGTTTATTTTAATGCTTAAGTCATTCTTGAAGCACCCATAAGGTATTCTTTTCTCAAGATTTCTTTAGAGTATACATAAGCAGAAAGTTTTTCTCAGCTTTTTAGGTAAAAAAAAAATTAGAGCCTACAACTTTTGCCATTTCCATGATATTCTACTGACCCACTTAAGCAAGTCTGAACTTTGAGGGTGATGTGCATTAACTAAAAGCCCTTGATGACATTAAAATACTTTCCTTGTACACAAAGCAAGATATTTTAACATTATAAATAGTCTCCAGCTTTTTATTTCTAATACACAAAGGCAACCACTTTAAAATTTATAGACAAATGTGTAATGCATATATTTAATTTCTATTTTCCATGACTGTGATCCCCCATGTTGGGGGTCAGTGAATATTGCATAATAAAATACTGGTTTCTATGTCTTCTTGCTATTTTTTTTTCATTAAGTGACTTGCTATTCAGTGCCAATGCTGGGAATGCTCAACACTGGCTTGTAGGAAGAGTCTGATGCTAAAAATAGCATAAGAGCCTGTCTTGTCATTTGCAGCTAAAATGTCATCTTGGAAAAGAAACACCTCCAATGATTAGATGGGTCTAGATGGCCTTTTTTGGACCTTTTATATGACTTTACACTTCTAGAATTACCCAGTGTTCTTCAGTGGTTCCATTTCTCATAAGACACTAAGTGTAAGTACTTCCTGGGTTTGAATTTTTTTTCTGGGTTTTTTTTTTCCTTTGAAAGTCTTTATTGTGCAGTCAGTCCTGATCCTTGAAAATATATTTCTCTTTAAACTCATATCCCATTCTTAATTCCGTTTAAAACAGTTTTTTTTCTTTTACCATCTAGGAATGTTTGATTTTGTTATTTTTTTCCTTTCTAATATATGACATAAAAGTCTATTTCTCTTATGCCAAGTTACTCAACTGAAGGGGCTTTATTTACTCTGTTTGTAATTCTATATTTAGGATTGTATTCAACTCTTCTATATGGTGTCCTATGGTTGTGTTCGAGGGTGCCAGGATGAGGGAACAGACAAGAATCTTGACTCCAAGTTTCAGAAGGCTGATGTATTATATTATGATATATATTATATGAAAATGCTATACTATAACTATACTAAAAGAATAGAAAGAAAAGGATCCATCAACAGTCTAGGAAGGACAGGAGAGGAATGATAACAAAGGCTTGTGAGTCTCCTAGAGTCCAAGCCAGCTGAGTGTGATTGGCCATTAATTAGAAACAACCAACATGCACCAATCATGGATGCACCTGTTGCATTCCACATCATCAGATAGTTATTGTTTACATTTCTTTCCTGAGGCTCCTCAGACTTTGAGGAGAAAAAATCCTAGCAAATTAATATCATGGCTACAGTGTCCTGATTGTGGAATGTCAGGACACTTTAGAACCCTAAAGAAGAAACCTTTGTAGTACTCAAAAAGAGATGGTTAAATTCTATTCATTGTGCTGTCAGGGAATTAAGATGCCACCACTTTCATATGTAGCAATGGACATTAGGGTCTGTCCTGAATGGTGCTCTAAAGCCATCCCAATTAATTTAATACAGGGTAATTCTGTAAGCAAAAGAGGAGGAAAAGTGTACAGAAAAAATGTGGGCGAAATCAAAGAAATTATTTTAGGGTCAATTTTAGTCTGTCCAGGCAATTATCCAATGAAAAAAACTCCCATAAACTGCATAAAATTTCAAAGTCTTAAACAAGACTTAAATGATTTTTAACTTTTTTTGTCTGGCTCATTGCCTAAGGTTGAATTTCATCTTTGCACATACATTGTATATCTAGATGTTCTCTTTTGTCTGTAAAAAGCATTTTGAGACTATATATTCATTGTTTAGTACAGTAAGATACAAACGATCCATAACTGAAAGTTCTCATTCCTGAAATATTTTTTAAAATAATCAAAGCATAGGTTCAAATTCCCTAATCACTATGTGAATCACTATATGATTTCATCAGGATATACAAATCAGATGGACACACTGCTGGAGGCATGTTTTGTTGGTATTTCTGGAATTTTATCAGTATGATGTTTATGCTTTATGTCATGTTTCTAGGTGAATTCTTTGTAGTGTATGCACCTTGAATGTAATTGCTCCAGTTTGCTTCTCTGGAGAATCTTTTCTTTTTCCCTTGTCTGTTTACATCAATTCAGATGTTGAATACCCACAGGCAAGGAACCAGACTTCCTACATGAGTCTTATTTCGTGTTATATGGAACAGTTCTTTCACAAGTATTGTGCATTTTCTATGTGTGTTACTGGGAAGGTTTCCAAACATCTGATAGACTGTGTTTGGGGAGTTACTTGGAAGATGTATACTTATTTTCAAAGGTAATGAAGACATTAGATTATCATTGAAACAAATTTATCTCAGTAGAAGTTGAATACAGCTGATAGGGTTTTACCAAAGTGCCTCATCTTTATGTCTAACATTGTAGATGTGTAGCAAAAGTCTGCTCTGTCCTCTCTGGCTCCAGCAGTTTGCAAGATCCAATCTTTCATTAGATATAACAATAAAATATTTTTGAAATTGAATAGCCTATATGCTTGGGCCCTACTGTATGAGGCAGTAAGTTTTCCCTTTATATTATAATCCCTGCCTACTGCTGCTCAGTGTTTGTGCTATAAAGAAGCAGCACAGCCATTTCCATTTCAGTACTGCCCTAGCAGCCTGCTGAGTCAGAGCACACTGCTGATTATTCTCACTGCATAGAGATTTTTGTTCTGTGCCTCTTTGGATTTCAGTGCCTTCTCTGAATGCTCACTTCAATCTTATGTCACCACCAAGGTCACTTTTCATTTTCCAATTCCTGTTCCTGTGGTTCATAGTTGCTTGGAGAGGGTCACGTGCCTGCAAATTTTAACAGCTGTGTCTGCCTCATATCCTCTCAAATGAAAGCAAAAGTGAAAACTTAGCTTCTCAAGACCCATGCTGGAGCAACAGAGAAAGCCCTTTACTGAATTTGACTCTTCCAAAGAACTCTAAAATCCTTGGGAACATCAGCTTCAGGGTCCTTGGCAAAAGACATTTTCCTCCTGCCTTTTTCAGATATCACCAGTAACAATGAGACCTCCTATCTCTCCGCAGCTGTCTTTAGGTCTTCTTAGCTGTTCTAGCTCAGCCTGAAATCCTTTCTGTTGATACTATACCTTGCTAAATTTTAGATGATGGTCTGCAAAATCAGGGCCTTGCAGCTCTCCACCAGCACCAGTTCATCAAGCAGCAGTTTTGGCTTTTTTTGGCATAATTTTTGAGAAGAATGCTCACTTTGTGCATATGCGTGTTGATTACCCGCACAGGAGAGCACAGATAGAAGAAACTTGGTCATCAAACTAAGAGTAGCTACTGAGGCCACCAGAGTGCTGTGGTTTACATTGTAGTTAACTAAAGTGATCTGCTTTGTCCTCTTACCATAGGGACAATTTGCAATGGACAAGCACGAGCACATAAACGTTTATATGTATTACATGAAAAAAAAAAGTTAACGGCTTAGCAAGTGTGAATAACCAATAGTTTCTTGTAGCGAACAATGGTGTATTTTAGCATTAACATCTGCAGTGATATTGTTGAATGCACGTACCTACTCTTTAAAAATTAATGAACTTGACTCCTGTGTACCTAACATAAAGTCATGTTTTACTTCATCGCCATGGAAAACTGGAAACCATTTTCTTTGTTCTAGACTGACAATTATTATTTTGAGTGGTGCAAAGCTTTCCAGGAAATATTTATTTCACTTTCTCTGGGAGGGCAGGATAAGGTCTGAATTTTGGTTTCCAGCACTCTTCTGAAGTTTCCAAAACACTTGTATTTTTCAAATTGTCAATTTTACTACTCCTTTTTTATTAAACAGCACTGTTTCTTGAAGATAATGGGAAGAACTGGTTTTGTAGTGACAAACACATAGACTCAAATGTATCACTAATACTTTAACTTACAAGCAATAATGTAAGCAATTATATGTGCAGAGGTTTTATAACTAAAAATTAACAAAATATAAATTCCTAACTGTTGCTGGCCACTTTAAAAGCAGAAGATCAGTATATGTTTATAAAAAAAAAAAGCAGTCACAGAATGAAAGAATGAAAAGTTCTTTGATAAGAAAAATATTAGGATGACAAATTTGGTTTCATGCACACAATTTTTAAAATTGTTCTCATGTACATTTTGCTTATATTCACAGGAGGTGAGCAACTGCTGAAAAAAAAGCAGTCACAGAATGAAAGAATGAAAAGTTCTTTGATAAGCAAAATATTAGGATGACAAAGAAATTTGGTTTCATGCATACAATTTTTAAAATTGTTCTCATGTACATTTTGGCTATATTCACAGGAGGTGAGCAACTGCTTTACGGTTTAGCATAAGGAGCTATCAGTCTTGCAAAATAAAGATATGTCTGTTTTATACATGCAGGAAAGACTCATAACATGGAAGGAGTGCTTATCTGAGGTTTGATATCTTGACATCATCTCAAGAATTATCTCAGAAGTTTAAAATAATTTAATCATAAAATTATACTTTTCAGGGGAGATTGGGAGAAAAAATCTTAACTGAGTAAATGATCCTCTATTGTTAAAACAATTTATGGTAAAACTGCATTTGAGAAGTTAATCAATTTAAGTCTTAGGGGAAAAAACCCCAAATTTTGGCATATCTGATGGAAACCTAGTGATAATGTTGATGAAGGAGTAAGTAAACAAGAACTTGAAAACTTGGTAAAAAAAGAAGGTTTAAACAAGGAGGTATGTAAACAGGATAGCCCAATAAACAGAAACAGTGTTTTACAAAAAAATAAATCTAAGATGAGGATTATGAACCCTTCATCAAGTCTTTGTAAATCAAGGATTAATAGACTGTTCATCTGCTCCAGGTGAAGATTCTTCCACCAAGAGAAGTCTTGACAGGAACTCACACATCTGTTACCATTCTGTGGTGAACCTGTTCCCAGTATAACACATGAACCTGTAACATGTGAATAAAGGTCCTCAAAGTTATGTCTAAAGCACTTTTTTTTTTTTGTTAGACAAATTATGAACAAAGCAATTAAACTTTCTTAATTAATCTTTATTCGGGAGTGACTGCAGGTCTTACGAAGATGGAATAAAACGCAAACAATTTTCAAAAGAAGTATTAATCTATTATGCCATGTACATTCCTATATATATTTATTAAATAAGCCATACTCCTCTTGTGCTTTCTTTTGTTTGTGATTTGGAAAATTAAGTTAGGCAATAAATTGTAATGTTTCCAAAGTTAGGAGTGAATGAACTGGAGTATCTTCTTAAACAGTTAACATTTAGATGATCTGACATGGAATATGACCCAGTACAATTCATATTAATGGACAGCAGAGGGCTTGCAGACTCAAGAAAATTGCTTGAATGGAAACAAATATGACAATGGCATCTTATAGGTCCCCAAACCTGTTTATAGATTTATAGGATTGTCACATGTGTGGTCTGCATGCACAAAGAGAACATTTTCACTGAAGAAGTGAAACTAACTCCAGATTTGTAATACTGAAAAATTGACAACTGACATACTGTGAAAAGTATCCAATCAGTCTTTGGAAATATTTGATGTTCAACAGGTGAAGGTTAACTCAAGAAACCAGTTCAACCTGTGTATGTCTTCCTACTGAGTCATAGTAATAAATGGCTTTGTCA